AAAGGATTTCTGTAGATTGTCCAGTTCCTACTCTGCCCCAGTGCAGGAACAACAGCCTGCTATTAACTATTTCAGGGGTAAAAAAAAGAAAAAAGGATGTTTCTTTTAGCCTAAACCAGGGGATTTCCTTTAATTAGGAGTTATAGTGGAGCTTCAGGTCCTGGGAGAGAGCAGGCTTAGACGCAGAAACTCAAGAAATTGAGCAGGTCAGTCTTGGGTGGATGGGTAGTTGGGAGTTGCTCCCTTGGGAGGCAGCAGCTTGGAGTTGGACATCTCTCTGAGCTTTGCCAACATGCTGCTGCCTGTGCCCCACTGAAGTCCTATCACCTGACACCACCTTCGCGGTCTGTTTAGCCAAAGATTGTGAGATATGCACTGTAGTCTTTGACACCCTTCGCCACCTCTGCTACCATCGTCACTGATCATAGGATATGGCTACTGCACGGCTGTCGACAATACTGGCTCCCCATTTCCCCCACACTCCTGACCCCCTGTCAGGATTAGTTTAAGCTGCTTAAGCTTATCCTCCAGTTACAGGGGCGCAGTTATATCCCAGTATCTCTACAATACTTTTCTGTGTTGGTCTTGGTTAGGAAAAGCTTACTGCTAAGTCTTCTGTGCTTCCTGAATTTGTAGCCAATATTCATCTCATCCACTCCTTTTTTATCTTGCAGGCTTCTTTCTCCTTCACACTCTAGCTACCTCTGACAAGTTATTTTATGTGATTCATATTTTTAAAAAAGGCCACATAAGCATACAGAATTTTCTTCAGTTTAAATGGAATCTAATTTCTCATAGATTTTACGGTGGAGTAGAGACATCTAGTGACTATTTTGTGTTATTAAAATGCAAAGGATTAATGAAAGAGAGCAGAAGACCTCTTTCAAACCCTTGAAATATCCTTCTAGAGGAGGTATATCTTTACATGCTCTCCCTAAATCTACTGAAAAAATAATTTTGTCAGTTCTGTGCAACTGGTAATACACAGGATAGAAAACAGTGATCAAACATCACTGGCTTCCATGCCTCCAGAGCCTCTTTTCTCCTTTCTCCAGGTGTCTTCAAAGGCCTTGGACTCTGCAGTAAATAAATCCAGAGTGATGCTAGTAAAGCCAGTCTAGCTTTGCATCGCTGGCACCAGAGGGCACAGTTTGGTGCCTAAGTGCCAATACAAATCCCTTCCTCATGTACTCTGGGCTGCATCGGGAGAAGCGTGGCCAGCAGGTCGAGGGAGGTGATTCTGCCCCTCTGCTCTGCTCTGGTGAGGCCTCACCTAGAGTACTGCGTTCAGCTCTGGAGCCCTCAGCACAAGAAGGACATGGAAGTGTTGGAGCGGGTCCAGAGGAGGGCCATAAAAATGATCCGAGGGCTGGAGCACCTCTCCTATGAGGACAGGCTGAGAGAGTTGGGCTTGTTCAGCCTGGAAAAAAAGAAGGCTGCGGGGAGACCTGATTGTGGTCTTTCAGTACCTAAAGGGGGCCTATAGGAAAGAGGGGGAAAATCTTTTTAGTAGGGCCAGCTGTGACAGGACAAGGGGTAATGGTTTTAAACTAAACCAGGGTAGGTTTAGACTAGATACAAGGAAGAAATTTTTTACAATGAGGGTGGTGAAACACTGGAACAGGTTGCCCAGAGAGGTAGTGGAGGCCCCATCCCTGGAAGCATTCAAGGCCAGGTTGGACGGGGCTCTGAGCAACCTGATCTAGTTAGCGGTGTCCCTGTTCACTGCAGGGGGGTTGGACTAGATGACCTCTAGGGGTCCCTTCCAACCCAAAACATTCTATGATTCTATGATTATTTTGCTGAGGTGAAGAATCTGCTTCAGAACATCTTGGCTGCAAAGTCAGGCAGCAAATATCTTTTTCAACTGAATCATCACCGGCCTGCTAAGGGAAGGGGAGGATGTTGGAACTGGAAGGGGGGTTGGAACTAGCAGATCTTTAAGGTCCCTTTCAACCCAAACCACTCTATGATTCTATGTTCCTTTGGCCAGAAATGCTTTAATGCCAAGATCTTCTGCTTGCTCATTTAGGTGCCTGAGGGTGGGTGTCTAAATCTAAGCCGTTTACTTACTCTTACTTTCCAATCAGTAGAGAGAAATAGGTACCTCCAGGGTCCTATTATCTTATCCTGAAAGGTCTGAGGAATGGTCCCTGAATGTCTCCCGACAGGACAGACAACTGAAGGAGGCACCAGGGGGAGGTATGTCCTCTGTTACTGCAGTGCCCCGAGCTGCTGCTGAAGGGCAGGACCTGGCTCCAAGGTATGTGCTTTGTGTGTGACCTCTCCACTACTTGTCATCCCAGGTGCATAAAATAATGAAGGCCAATCTGATGGTGCTTGTCTCCCTTTCCAGAAACTTTGTTGCTACAGCGGAAGACTCCTGAATCACGAACACGAACCAGGCTGCTCATGATGGGCCAGAGCTACTAAAAATGCCCTTAGTAAGCAAATTCTTCTGTTCCCTACAGACTGCTCAAGATGGCATGACGTCAAATGCAAACTCACCTGCCAGCATCCTACTGCAATGAGCCAAATGTCGCACCAGCCCTAGGCAATGATGTGCTATTACATAGCTTGAGCAAGAGCAGAGGTCCTGTATTTGCTGTGAGTGCTTGTGTTCTTGTGCAGTGCAACGCACCCAGATAAGGAGCATGGTGGCACAGTGGTGTTTGTGCATGGCACAGGTGAGTTGTTAGCGTGGTACATGCTGGAGAGGCCTGTGGGATACAGTTATACCAACTAATGTACAGTGTGTGTACATCCTGGTGCCTCCAGAGTGGTTGTCCTTGAATGGTGTAGGCATGCCTACCGTGCCAGCAGGCAGCTGGAGGCCTGGGCTGGGGGCGACGGCTCCTTCTCTGGCACTGTTAATAAAGAGGTTGAAAATTTACTCTGTGTTACCGTGGCATTACATAGGAATATGTGTTTAATTTACACATGTATTAAATGTAGATATATTTATTGAGGCACATGTACAACAGTTTCCTAAAGATCCTTCAAACAAAAAGTAGTTGCATCATGTCCCAGGGTTTTTGTTATGCTGGCCCATAGCATTCATAGGCTCCACCTGGGTATGTTCAGTTTCTTCTTTTTGTCTCTGAAATGGCTATTTTTCTGTCTTTATGGTTTTTTTCTCTTTCTGGGAAATCATCTCTATGACTATCATTGTTTTTCCAGAGTATTTACTCTAAATCATTGGAGTAGGATAAAAAAATCAGTATGTTTTGCCTTAACCTTTCCTCTTTTTCTGTTCAAAGTATATGGTTTGGCAAGCTATATAAAGACCGTGGCCTTAGCAGGTAAGACAGACAGCAGCACATCATCTCACCTCAAACCTTTCCCTGGAAGAAGAGGGAATTATACAGAGCCTTTTAGTTACCAGGATTGTGCCAGCCCATTCTCAAAAGAGTTTCGTGGTTTAAGCTGACAAAGCCACAATGTTGTTCCATGCCTGGTCCCAAGAGGGCAGAATATTGCACTTCCTGACTTACTGTTGTGGTTTAACCCCAGCCAGCAACGAAGCACCACACCACCACACCGCCACTTGCTCACTCCTCCCTCCCCGTGGGATGGGGGAGAGAATTGGAAGAGAAAACCCATGTGTTGAGATAAGAACAGTTTAATAATGGAAATAAAATGAAGTAAAATAGCAGTAGTAATAATAATACTATTAGTAATAATAATACACAAAGCAAGTGATGCACAATGCAATTGCTCACCACCCACCGACCGATGCCCAGCCCATCCCAAGCAGCGATTGCAGTCATCTGTCTTCCCCCCAGCCCCCTCCGCAGCCAACTCCCCCCAAGCATGTCATATGGTCTGGAATAGCCCTTTGGCCAGTTGGGGTCAGCTGTCCCAGCTGTGCCCTCTCCCAGCTTCTTGTGCACCTGGCAGAGCAGGGGAAGCTGAAAAGTCCTTGACTGGTGTAAGCCCTGCTCAGCCACAACTAAAACATCAGTGTGTTATCAACATTCTTCTAGTACTAAATCCAAAACACAGCACCATGCCAGCTACTATGAAGAAAATTAACTCTGTCCCAGCGAAACCAGGACACTTACTGTCATGATAACTACATTGGCTTTATCTTGAACTAACAGGTCTACTAGAGGGGGAAAACAAAAGCACGTTGTCTGCCTTCTTTAATGAGAACATTTGATGACCAACACGCAGAGCAGGCACAGGTCGGTCTCAGCCCTGGTTTAACCCTGAGCTTAATAATGCCCCTGTGATGTAAGGATAAGCATGTAATCTAGAGCCAGTTGAAGAGCAGAAATTCCTCTGGGAGAAGAATTCAAAGTTTTGGCATCATTTTAAGTTACCATAAAATCAAAAAATATAGAAATTTCTATGTGGAGGAAAATCTGAAGAAAAAAGAAAGTTGGCCTAATAGCAACATTTTGTTTCAAATCCAACTTTAGAAATTACTTTTGTTTGGTATAAAATAAATGTTAAAAGTATCTCAAAAGTCATGAAATGAGATGTTTCAGCAATGTCAGATATTCCTGCCATTCCTCTCCTCATAATTGCTTTCTGGTTTCAACCCTAAACTAATGAAGCTTAAGAGGAAGTGATCTGATAATCACAAACTGAAGCAATCTAATAATCACGATCTGAGTTTTCTGTTGAAATATGTTTTAGTGTCCAGTTGGTTTGAGGAGGATATGTACATACTCGGCAAGTTGCCAGCTCAGGTTCCAAATTAAAATTATATGTGTGTTGAAGGTGACAATTTATAAGTTGATAAAAATGATGGCTATACTGTTTTCAATAGAACATACAACAACAGAAAGGGCTAAGAATTAAGAGCTGTTGATAGAAAGCTACAAAGTGAGAATTTACATTAAAAAAAATAAAGTATCTAGTTTCCTTCCGTTTTACAGACATCTAAACATTTCTTTTGACCTAATGTGGTGTGATGGGTGGGAGGAGGCCAGAAAGGATGTAACACGGGCTACTGCTTCTTCAATGAGTCCATTTTGATTGCAGATCTGAAAGCACCTTTTCAAAATGGCAAGTGAGGTGGTTTATGCAGAGGTATCGCCCCATTTTACTTCACAAACTTCGGATACAGGTAAAAGTGGCCATCTTAATATTACTTACTTTTCCTTTGCTCACTGCCACGTTCCTAAAACTTCAATTCTTTCTTAAATCAAAGCATTTGTAAGAAGCTGAAGTCATGTTAAAAGCATTTTTATAACTATTAATACCCACCTTGTTTACTATGTATCTATTTGCTTGGCAAATTCATGTTTATTAATAATTAATAGAAGGAATACTGAATTCTAGCAAAAGGAAAGAATGACCTTTAAAATCCTATTCAGGATTTCAGGAGTACGGCTGAAATGTGCTGTTTCTGATCATCATTGATCAGACATTAGAGATATTAATACGAGTTACTGGAAACTCACCAGCAGTTACAGTGCACTGATGACACTGAATGGACTTCTTTCTCCTGCAGTATATTTACATCTTATATTTTAATTTGATTCATTTTCTTAGACACCGGAAATATTTTTGAATTGTAAAACAATAGGTCTGTTTATCTTTTCTTTCTTCCTTCCTTTCTTTCTTTTTTTCTTTCTCTCTTTCTTTCTTTCTCTCTCTGTCTCTCCATCTCACCCTTTCTCTTCTAAAAGTTCTATGTTGAGAAAAATACAAGTCAAGAATTAATAGAGGTTTCTATAATTTTTAAACTGTTAGTCCTACAATTTGTGTATGATCTACTGATGTCTTCAACTACAAGACTGCATTACTTTAAAAATTTGTTTTCAAGAAATAAAGTGAAAAGATTAATGGATATAAGTAGGAAATAATTCATGTTTTTAAAACAAGTGTCAAGTTACATTTTTTTGACTGATAAAAAAATAGATATTTGCTAGTTATAAGACAAATAAGCATGGAAAATTCAGAGGTCACAGTATGAAAGAAAAATATGTCCTGATTATGCTAGCAAAGCAACATTATTTGCTCCTTGGGACGCAGTACTAAAAGCATCTGCAAGGGTATGATGTTCTTGTCTTTCATGTGGTAACTCAGTTTGCCCCTTAGATTTTGTGATCAGTTCACCGCAGAAGACCTGCATTGCCAGGAAAACCTTTGGTACCCCAGCATTAGAACTACTCCATAAGTACTTAGTGGAGATGCACACACATGCCCAGTACAACCATCTGTACAAAATATTTCAAAATTTGAGAGCATAAAAGTCTGTTCCACCTAATTTTTTTTTTGTTTCCTCACCTGAGACTATCCTTTAAATTTCCAGTTACATTTTATAGTTTTAAGTGCTTTCACACAACTTTTAATACACTTTGGTGAATTATGCTTAGAAATTGCTGCTCTAAGTTATCCTGAGAGCCCTCTAACCCAGTAACATACTTCTGAAAGCTGCCACTATGAGGTGCTTGGAAAGATAGTGCCTAAAAATTTTTTATGGCCAATTATGAGGCTAATTAAGTAACCAAATTTCAGACAAAATGTTTTTTCTTGCACTTTAGCGTGTGATGGCATGCTGTTTACCCTGTCATAATCTTTTTGAAAAATTTTTTCAACTGTAATAACAATATTCTTGTCACTTCTGTGAATATTGCATCCCTTTTGGTCTCCTAATAAATGCTTTACTTTAATAACATCCTAAAACAATGACTTCTACAGGCTGATTCTAATATCTTGTGTAAAGAAATACTTTAAACCAATCTTGAATTTGCCACCTATTAATATTGTCAGTGTGTCCTAGTGAGAGAGAGTGAAAAAACACCGATCTGTATAATTAATATTTTGTTTGTATTCTTATATATATAAATTTCCATTATACATTCTTATAATCTTGATTTTCGATTTCTACATGTGCTCCATTGCTTTCATAGTTGAGAGCACAAGTGCAAGAAACTGTGGTCCTCCTGCTGTATAGTGTTAAATGTTCTGACTCCTTGGTTGCTGTGTGAGAAAGGCGCTGCGTTCAACACAACAGGGTTTTGATACTGCTTGGTACTAAAAGTGATTTAGATTCGACATTTTTCATAAGTCTAAGGCAGATCTCAGCAGCTCTGGCACTCTTAGGAGGCTGCTTTACTTGCCACGCTACAGTGAGTTCGGAGAAGTTGAGTTAGCTATGACCCATCTGCCTGATAGAGCCCAAAGGAAGCAGTTGCTGTCTTACTCCATGTGTATTTTACAGTAGAGGATTGATACAGCAAGACTTGGAAAAGGCCAAAGTTGCTCCTGTGAGGCAGGACTAATAACCTAGGCCAGCTAGGGCAGGTTCATACTGCCCTGCCTCTGAGCATTTATTGAGTTACAGCTTAAGAGTTGGTGCTGTCTTATCTGATGAGATAGCTCTACGGTTTTGGTCTGCTTCCCCATGGCCACTATGCCCATCCCTTGGCTAGTCCGGGCCCCACTTCTCCTCTCCCTTCAACCCCTCTCCTCTCCTTCACTGCTTCCTTCAGTTTTGCATGTGGTGTGTAGAGCAAATGGTCCATGTTCCTGGACTTCTCCTACATTTTGCACCACCGAAGTTTGCATTCGCTCATCTTCCCCATGTCACTTCAGAGAAAAATCTGTTTGGTTTCTCTCTTAAGAAAAAACTCATCTTATTTCATACACTATCAGCAAGCAAATTTGACGTAAGGCACTCCTGGGAAATAAGGTAAAACATGCAAAGCATGTAACCTACAAGGTGGTGTGTTGCAGTTGATATAAAAATACAGCTTCTTCCTTCCTTCCTTCCGCTGCCACACCTACCAAAAGCTGCTGGGATCAGTCAGGCATGTCCCGTCACTCGACGCTTTCCCTCTCCCTCCTACCCTGACACTTCATCTGCTGATTTAATATCACAAGATGGAGGAGAAACCGTATCATAGGGCAGTTCCCCACCTTATCACACCTGCAGTCATCTTCCTACTTACACCTCTTCCTGGTGAGCTTTTCCAATTGTACAACATTGCTGATCTGGGGCAATAGTCCTGTAGAGACCCTCTGGGCAGTGAGATGTCTTCTGGGTGTATCTTTAAGCATATGAATTTGAAAGCACTGCCTACGGGATGCAGCTCGACTACATAACAGAGGTCAGGTACCTAAACATCATCTTTGCCTTCTTTGAGCTTCACATCTAGCACTGGCCACTGCATGTGCTCAGCCAAAGGATGGGCTGCTTTTACAGTGATAGTGAAACAGATCTCTTCTGTTATGCAGATGTCAGTGTAAGCATCCATACATAATAACAGTCAAGTGTAGGCAAGGCCTCCAAAGATAAGGAGAGCAATGATTAGCTCTTGGTGTTAAAGCAAAGCCATCTCAGAAAACCACACGCTTTCTTGGGAAAATAAATGGCTGCTGCTGCAAACCCTGTTGCCAATTCCTTTTCCAGCCCAGCTTGCATTATTGTTAGCGAATCCGCCCAGGTGATAAAGCACTCCTGACAGTGCAGCAGATGGGAATTCTCCCCTATTGAGGCTGGGAACTACAGTTTGCCAGGCAAACCCACACCTTTGGGGAAACCCACCCTGACAACATTTTTTAGGCTCTCCATTGGTTGTAAAAATCTTGTAACAGATGGCGAAAATATTCTTTTTAATGGTTGCAACCATGAGTGTCACGGCCATGCTAGTGGTTACCAGGGCATACGAGGGTTTTCTACTGGTTGACCACCAGGTACAGAATGGGGAGATTTTCAGCAGCCCCCAGTATGTGTGCTGATCTCTGCTGTGTCACATTTGAAAGCCTGGTGTGAGACAGTGGTATAGGAAGTGCTAGAGTGCTTGGCACAGGCTCCAAGCATAGCAAGAGGCAATCCTTTTGCACTTGGAAGGCATGTCTCCTGGTAACTGAAAAGCCATGGTTTATAGCCATGGCTTATTTAACTGAATGTGCTGTCTCAAGGCAGTTCTTTTAGTGCAGCCATGTCTTAGTGTGGTAGAATTTATGTAGGCCAGTATCACCAAGCCATCTGGAGACACTAGGTAGTTTTCAGAGGGAATGGTTGCATGCTCTGAGGCACAAGCATCTGACAAAAACTTCTTCCTGCTGTGTGTAAAGGCAGTCAGATGAAGGTCAGAGGAGCTTTTTTTCTTTCCCCTTAAAATAAATCCTAAACCCAGATATATCAGAACAAGGATGGGCTGGGAAGATCTTTATCCTGATGAGCAGCTGACAAATGCAAAAAAAAGTCAGGAAGGAGCATGGCAAGTAACACTTGGAGGAAACTAAGAAGAAAGCAGTGACTGGAGGAAGATCAGTTGTTCCCTGTGGTTTCTAGACCTCATTACAACAAACAGCGTAAACGTTCACAGTGAGAGGGGAAAGACCTGCTCTATTGCCTTGGTTTGTGAAATGGGGATTTCCAAGCCCGGAGGGATGGGTGTCTCGACTCAACGGAGAGGAAGGCTGCTGCAATTTGTGCAGTCACGCCAGCTCTTCATGGAATATGGAAAGCTTGCCTTGCAAATGGTTCTTAGTCATGGAAAGCATCCGTCCAGGGCACTGATGTAAGCAAGGAGCAGGCCTCTGCTGCTAGCAAATGAAAATGGTTATAAAGTAGCAAGGAAATAAAGATTCAGATAAGTCTATTTTTAAGTCTTCTCTCCCCAGTTTTGTGTCTTCTGTGATTAACAATGGCACAGGGTGGGGCTACTTTTGGACTATTCTGGCTGAGCATTAACTGCAGACAGACTTTCCTTTTCCCCTTTTTGTGGAGAAAGCTGAATTAATGGTTTGTACTGAAAATCTGTGCTCTGCCTGCAGTGGTGCTTACTAACCTTTAATTGAAACCTTATTTAAATACTTGGAAGAATGAACTTGAGGAATAAAAGTCTGTGGATGAAATGAAAATAGTATGTTTATACTTTGCATAATGTTTTACATTTGGTCGTTTACTCTGAACTGTTAAACATTATGTTTAATTTGTAAGTGATTGAAAAATAGCCTGTCCCTGCTCTATGCACATGCAGTACAGCTTAGCTTTGTTCCAAAAGGAGCTGTGCTCCTCTTTGTGAAAGAAAAAACAGTAGAGAACCAGCTTGCTTCATACCTGTGCACAAGATCTGAATTCACCAGGAAGAAAAAGTTTATTGAGAATAGAAAAAAAATAGTTTAACCAAAAAGGTTGCCATTGATTAACTTCTGCTTAAAGATGGACAGAATGTGTACATGTGTGTATAAGATACAGAATAATAAGAAAAAAGTAAATTAATAATAGAGTAGTTTAGTGTGAGATAACCTAGAGTCACCTAGAGGTTGGGGTTTTTTAATTTTCTAAGGTTTAATAACTGAATAACATTTTATTTTATTTTATTTGCATCAACTGCACATCATGATAATTATTTGCATGAACTCTTCTAGTAATTTGGTTTTGGCACATTCATTCAGCAACACGCAAGTCTTATCAGAAAAAAAAAAAAAGAAAACAACCTCTCTTGCATGTTCTTGCTCTTCCCATTCTATCAGAGAAGGTCTGGTGCTGCAGGGTGCTCGATGCAATAAGAATGGCAAGGGATCGCCTTAGGCAGGTTCTCTAATTGAAGCACTTTTTGTGTCTACAGGTGATCCAGCCACATACGCTGAGGTGAATGTGAAATGGAGATCTGACAGACCTGACAGCACACCCAAGCCCACACATACAGGTACCACAATACTGCAGGACACTTCACATTTTCTTATTATATTTTATCCTCTTCGTATACCATCATAATTGCATATTTACATGTAGTGGAGGAGTTGCTTAGGGCTAGGTGCCCAAAGAGATGTTGCTATGATCTAGGTGAATTAAAAGACCTTCAGAACCTTTCCCAGCTGCTGGTTTTCCCTGGGGGTGACTGAAGGCTGCTGGTGACAGTGTTTCCAAAGTTAGCAAGTAGAGTCACAGGCCCCCAGGCTTGCATTAGGCTAAACTTTTTGTCCCTCAGCCCCAGCTAAGCCTGTCAGGACTCACGGTGTCTGTGTCCCTTGCCTCTGGGGCTCAGTCTAGCAAACCTTTGGCTTATGTCTGTGCCTCCAGTATGGATTGCACCTGGGAGCAAAGGGTGGCCCCAGGAGCCGGTGGCGCAGACGGATTTGTGTCCACGCCTGGTGCCCTCCTCAGTGCAAGGATCTCTGGAGCAAACAGGTTGCTTCTGCACAGCATAGCCCCTGGCCAGTTACCTCCTTCGGGCCCCATGAGACTTGGCTCATTGTGGCATTTTGGTTCATAAATTTAAAAGGCTGTGTTGCACCTTGCCAAAGTAGCTTTTTTTTTTGTTTTTATAGCATGGCACAGAAAATACTGCAATATGCTGCTGGGAATGTAATAAGGGGTCTCCTATAGGCCTTGGGAATGTCCACTGGGGATGCCGCTGGAGATCAATTCTGGGCAGAGGGAGTATAATTTGGCACTGTTGGAAGAGAACAGGTCTCTGAAATGAGACCAACTTTCTTCTGAGAAGGGACCAGTTAGTTCATCCCAGAAGGATCCCAGAAGCAAATGAGCATGTAACATGCAGGCAGTGTGGTCCACTGGAGGACCAGGACCTGGTAGCAGAACAAACTGCCGTTGCATGCCTCTATGAGTAGACCCACACAAAACACAGCAGCTGCCTACCCGTTCAGTAGCCAAATAACACATTTTCCCGGAGTATGAGACAGTGTCACTTTCTGTCTTTGCTGCAGGTGATTTTAATCCATCTTCTCCTGCTCCACACTCCCGAGGGATGCTCAGAACATGTAGTTAAAATTTACTCTGCAGGGGAGACACTCACAAACTCTTCTGTTCTTTTTAACAACAATTTCCATGTATTGTTTTTCATTTCCAAATGCATTTAGGATGAATAAACAGGTCAGCAATAGTATTTAAAGCACAGAAACCAAGTTATTTTTAGAAAGTGATATTTAGGGAGCAAAAATTAGGTTTTTGACAAGTTCAGATAACTTGTGTCTACCTTTTTTTAAGTGAAAATTTTAAGATACATTAAACTGTCTTCTCAAACTGTAACCAGCCTCGAAAGTAAATCTAGTTTTGCAAAGTGAAATAATATATTGGATATGATTTTTAACTCTCTTGTATGAGGTGAAAATGAAGAAGAGAAGCAAAGAAAATATCGCATTAATGCGATGTGTAAAACCAATTAAGATATTTATAGACAAAATGTTAGCTGCAGAAAACACTAAGTGAGAACAAATGTTTCCATTGGTAGGTTAATTTGGCCTTACCACAAGGAAAAGGAAACTGAAAGTTTCAGATGGCCTTTTTCATTAAAAGTGGCAGTCGGGCAGACAAGAGAGTGGGCCAAGTGGAGATCTTGATCCTGCTGTTATAAAGGCAAAACCAACTTACTGGCTTCATTTAAATGTCCTCTGATTTTATGCCAGTGAAACCATGATTGGACTGCAGCATGAAAAGTGTTGTCAGTAATGCAGTTTTGATGTATCGCCATCGTCTGTTTGTTGGCTGCCCTTTTTATACCCCAGTCCTCACTTCCTCCCTTCCTTTCTCTGATTCTGCCTGCACTGTCCATATTTCCAGGTATTCAGAATTTTGTTCTAGGGATATCAAAATCCATATATGCTATACATATGGATAAACGCTAAAGGTGAGCTCTGTCCCTTCATATTCTTCACTGCAATCTCTTTAAAACCACAGAAGTCGGGTGTTCGAATTCTGGTTTAGATTGGGGTGGGGGGGTACCACACAGATCAACCTGGAAGGTGTCAAGGAATGGGGTTGAAAGAACACAGAGATCCTGGACAGGATTACAGTTGGAGCAGAAAATTATAAAAGCAGGGATTTAACAATGAATTAAACATGTGCTTCCTTGTTGTGCTAAAAAGGATGAAAATCTGGAAAAAGAGTCTCTACAATTTCAAATTACCTATGAAAGCTTTTTTTTAGATCCTGTATGTGAACTTCAGGATTTCCTTGTGGGTCTTCAATTGTATAATTGAAATCAGAAACATAACCCACGATAGCACGACCATTGCAAGCCATTCTCCAAGGGAAAGGCAGGGTATATTCTGGAGCGAGAAGCACTGGCAGCGCTGTGCGGGCGTTGCAGGCAAACTGCATGGCACAGCGTTGATGCAGCGGTGTTGGCAAAACTGTGCGCTGCCACAGAGGGTGAGAGGTCACATTTTGAGGCATCTCAACAGCTATGATGATAAAAACTGGAACTGGCCGGGAAAAGGGTTCTTCTGACCTGAAGATGTGATTTCACGTATAAGCATACAGGCTTAGATACATATAAACCTACATAAAAGTTTTATTTTCAATTAATAACTAAGGTGCTAGGACCCGCAGCTTCCCAGTTTTCAAGCATTTGATTTTTGATTAAGAAAATAATTTCTAAAACAAGATTTAGCTTCTACAGGTACATTTAGCTGAAAAAAAAAACCCAGAATGTTTTCAGTTGCATCTGCAGCACACCGAGGATATCCTCACAAACTTGCTCTTCGCCTAGCTAAAATGATTTTGCGTACTCCCATAACTCAGAACAAAAGTTGACTTGCTTCTGCCTGTGGTGATACTGCTCTCTTTTGTCCCTTTGGCAGTGACCTGCTTGGAGAACTCGCACTGGTGTTACGTTGCTGTCGCCCTGTACTTCACTGCAGTGATTCTGCTCATCACTGTCATCCTCTTGGCGGTGAAATGCAACAAACTCTGAGGCAGACCCTGCCATCCTACTGATATACAGGGTAAGCCATTTTAGCGGTGTTTCTATTTTCATACAATACACTTGGATTTCTCAGAGGAGGTACAAGGAAGCGTCCCAAACCAATGCTAAGTCGCAGTCACAAATTCAACCAGCCAGCAACTCAAAGTCACGTGAGACAACATCTAGCTCCCTCCTGCTGATGCATGCTGCACTTAATGGAGCACGTCTTAATACAGAGCAGCTTCAGCAGAACCACCTGCCAGAGCAAGTATTGGGCTCTGCTGCTTTTACTCCAATAAAATTCATCACTTAATCATAGGTGCCTCCCAGCTGTGGAGTGCAGTAACCCCACAAGCCTGCCATGGCATGAAACAAGCACATGGCTGGGTGCAGCTGGACATGATCCCCATAACCACTCTCCAGGCCAGGATTGACAGAGACCTGGTGAACTGACAGGAGACAGGCAAGCTGTGCTGTTCAGTCTGGGATTTGAAGTAAACTGGGAAAAGAGTTTTCTGTTTTGGACTAGGAATAGCAGTGAACAGCCTTCCAGAGAAAACCTTCCCACCCACATTTCATGCCTCTTGTAGAGCTACAAGCCACGTTTAATCACTCCTCTGGGTCACTCTCCCTGGTAGCCATCACTGGCCACACTGAAGACACCATGTCCCATCCTGTGCCAGAACTAGCGCCCGTGTCACTGAGCAGCTCACTAGTAATATGTGCACTACCACCCCTCCACCCCGAGGCACGGCACGCCTTGCCATGGTCCTCATGGCATATGGGTGCCCTCTCTTTACCCATAGGACACTCACAGAAGGTTGAATGTCAATAAGATACTCTACTTCTATTAGCTTTTGTCTCTTTCTCAGATAACTTGGCACAGGGAGGCTCTGCTTCTTCAACAAAACAGGACATGATGCTTGTTTACTTTTACATTATTTTCTCTGAAGAGACCTTTATGAAAGAAGATATGCCATCAGTCTGATCACTCTTCAGTTATGTCTTCCAGGATCTCCATTAAACCTCTAACCTCTCCATATATGGACAAAACATATATTATTACTTTTATTTGGAACTTGCTTAATCCTGTAATACCAGCAACCATCCAATTATATCACTGCACGGACCAAGGCATGGGCTCAAGCTGCTGTGTGAAAAGTTGGATTTTGGTCTTATCTACACAACAGCCATGACCAGGTGGATTGGTTTGAGACATCACTTTTAATTCACACCTGACTTGATTTTGCAATAATTTGCAATATAGATAAGCTTTTTGATTACATATGTGCAAGTGCAAAAATTCATGGCTAAAACAGGGAATGTGACAGGTTGCACTGAACTTTTTTATGAAGCTCAGGTTCAGATGTGAATTTTCTTCTCCTGAGAGCCTTTAGTGGGATTTGTATGAAAGGGGTATTGAAGGTGCAAAAAGCTTTATTTGTTTAGTAGAGAAGTCTCAGTTTCATCCCCCCATTAGCTTGAATAAAATTATTCTGATCTACTTGTCCAGAAGAGTATCTCACAGAGATACAATACGTTGTTTCTGTTTTGGGGTAGTAATTAATTTTGTATTTGTTTTGTTGTTTGGGGTTTTTTTTCCAAATGCTGTAGCTTCAGTTAAATGAGAGTCCTCCACTGGAACTAAGCCACCTCAGCTTCAGATGCATTTGTTTGTAATTATTATTTTGCTGTTTGTTTTTATATTATTTCCAGTTCTCATCAGTTACGTTACAAGTCTTTGGGGCAGGCTGATATCAATAATTTGCAGACCCTGAGTAAGAGGTGTCTCTATAGCAGTCATTTCTAAAATTGTTCCCTGTATCTAAGGTTATCTGTACTTAAGACATGTTGCTGTTGATCATGTACCACATTTTTATAGTATATGCACCTGAAATCAATAAAGAGACTCAGTAAAGCACTTGACATGCTGGTGTTTGTTTTTATGTGAGTCAGACTAGAAGAAAAATAACATTTAGTATTTGTATGACTGTAACACCTCTGGGCTGTTGTCATGAAGCAGAATGCTGCTCTGGTAAGTACAGTCTAAAGACAGAATCCCCACCCCACAGAGCAGAGCACCAAAGGAACAGTAGAAGAAAATGGTTCAGTTTTTCTTGAGATCATCCTTTTCTTTGCCGGTGCTCTGGGATAAATCCACGTCTTCAAATACCAGTGGAGAAAGAAATGTTTTAAAAAGAGAGATGATAAAAGAAGAGGTGGCAGGTGACATTTTGACCTGAAATGCTCCTGCATGTTGTTGCCATTCAGAAACCTCATCTGATTTTAGCTGGAAGATTATTAAGATTGTTGTCTGTCATATCAGAATCTCAGATAACCCCTACAACCAAATGAAATTGCCAGTCCAATTTAATTAGCTCCAGCTTTCTTTAGAAGCAAGAAAAATTCCACAGCCTTTGAGAGCTAAAGTGATGTGGTTTTGCATATGTAACTTTTTCAGTAATAGCAGGTTATTGCAAAGGGACATGCAGCAGCAGCGGTCATTAGTTACTGGCATACAGGCCCTACCAAGTAGAAAGTCTTCATTTCCGAACAAGGAGCTGAACGAACATCCACCCAGATGCTGTATATGCAAATACAGCAAAGAGAAAGGCATTTCAAGACCATTTAGAAAACAGCACTGATTATAAGCCCCACAGGGACTCACACAGATAACCAGGTCTTCAGTTGCTGCAGGCAGATCTCGGGGAATTCCAGTGGCAGGTTCTATCATCTGAAAAGGCAACCATTTGCATTGTGTAGACAACTGGATAAGAGGCATGCATATACTGCCCAGTAACTCTGAAGGAGGGAAAGCACTCTGGTTAAAAGGAGAAGTTGCTAACTAAAACTGAAGTGACTGGGTTTTTGCTGCTTACTGAGAATCTGGCACACTGGCCTGTGGTTTTGGCAGTGCACTACAGCATTTAAGGCAAGTTTAACAACTTCAATCTGAGGTTGGTGCTCTGCAAGCAGAGAATATAATCGTGGTTTTGGGGGAGTTTGTCCATGTTTATGATCTGTTTAGCATCTCTGAAATGTTGACGGGAAGTATTTCCCTGCTGATGGCTCTTGGCAGACAGAAAGCTATGGACAGATGAATGGGCAGGTGTGCAGCAAGTTCTTGCAGATCCCTGCTGGGCTCTAGTTTCTTCTCGGCTGGTGGAGCTGCTGCAGCTGATCAGCTCTGTGCTTCAGGGACAGCTTCCAATGGTTTCTCATCCTAACAATATCAAGGACATGGGCAAATGACTCTCTCCTTGCATCTATTTCATGCTCACACCATCCTGCTCTTAACCATAAAGGCAAAATCCTTCTTAGACACAGTTTGAAAGGAAAATGGCCTGTTACTGAATTGTTAAAACAAGGTTGCCTGGTCATTGGTTATGTATATGGCATTATACATATTACATATAGCATCTAAAAAATCATATGTGACCATAGATCCAGCACTAGGGAGTTGTTTCTCTCCTTTGTTTCTGTCCCTTTCCTTTTCCTTGAACCTTCCTGAATTCCTTATACTTCATTCTCTCTCCCTGTGGCTTCAGACACATCCCAGAGCTATGAGTGACACTCATTCCTGGTGTTCTGGCTTGGCCTTTTTTTTCCTGGCCTTTCAGCCATTCTCTGAGCCCTTGCTGATAAGCACCATCCCTTTTATTTGTGGACACAGTAATGCATGGGTAAAGGCTGAAGGAGATAATTAAAAAGAATGCAAACAAGCCACTAAAAGGATAGCCTTGATTAAATTGCACAGGCTACAGAAAACATTCTAGGACCTTGACAAAGGCAGATATAAAAATGTAAAAAGAACAACTAAAATCCTAAACTAGGGGGTAGTTTCAAACCATTTTCTTCAGAAATTCAGCACACTCTTTAAAGGCTGCAGTGTGAGAATAGGAGGGACGGGAGCTCATCTGCAGAAGGAGGTATTATCATTCATCTTTTCAACCCTGTACACCTTCTTCCCTAGATAGCCAAATTCTGAGCTAGCAGAACACCTAGTATTCAAGCTCTTCCTAGCAATTCTCACCACTGCATCAATTTCTGAGAGAAATTGTAACAAAGCCTACTTACATGGAAAATAATAGAAATGTTATTCTGGCTAATACCTGGCATCAAGTCACCATTGTGAGAAGTTGGTTAGAAAAACCTCTCTACCTGCCTATGTAGGAAATCATCCCAGAGCAAAGCCATCTTTACAGGCAGGAGAACTTCAAGGTGGGAGATCTGATCTCATTTGTTTCCTGCCTGCATTTGGGCAGAAGATAGGAGACAGCAGTGCATCCCCCTTTGGCTGCTTGGGCAGCAAGGGAGCCATGGTGCTTCCCAGCAGGTTTTCTGGTGAAAATGCTTAAGAGACCAAGGATCTGGTTAGGCCCTAAGCCATGAACATGGAGGGACTTCTGTGAGTTGTACTGGTTCACTTTGTACCTTTTCATAGGACTTGCGTGCCCGCAACTGGGCATGTGGTGTGCCCGTGCTGTTCAATAAGCCAAAAACTCCATCACTTCTTGGGCTTCAAGTGTCTTGCAATGGTAAAACTCACACAGCTCCTCCTAAATGACAGGACATACCATAGCCCACTGTCTTTGAAAAAGATCAGCTAACCACCTCTCTGCATAGCTGGACTCTCTGGTCTATATAGGCAACCTTCCTGTGAGGTGGGAGACTTGAGTAGTTCATCCTGAAGTGTCTTTTTTTGCTACAGTAAGGTTCACTAGGGAGGAGGACTTAAAACACATCCAGAGCACTTCCTCTCTACTCTCTGCCTGCCATGGGGGCTTCATTCAAGATAGCAATAATACTGGAAAAGGTGGTGATGCTGATGGTTTTCCTTACAACTTCTCTGATGCAAACAGAAGGTAACCTCAGCACATTTTGAAGTTCATTGATATTTCAGGGGAGAGATTTCGCCTAGAACCCTTTTTTCTTCAAAGCTGCCTTGTCTGCATTCCCAAAGCAACAAATCCAGCAATATTGTCGTTAGTTCTTAGCATGACCAGGCTGTTGATGTACAAGATGCTCAATGATGGACAAGAATCAGAAGGCCATAGATGCCTTACTCATCAAACCTAGGGGTTTTTTTTCTGAATTAGTTGGTAGCATTAAAATACTGCAAAAGTCTAAAATATATCTTGTTCTGCATTGCTGCTTTATGGTTCTGGTGAATCTAAGTCCCCCTCTGTCTGTTCTGAACAGAAAACTACCTCTCACCTCTGAGGTCTGGACTGGCCCTGAACTCTAAGGAAATTTTCTGAGCTGTGTCATCACAGTGTTACAGTTCTGGTCCATCCAGATGAGCTTCCTTTGATTTTACAAGCACAAGCTGGGCGCCAGTTCTGTGGGTGTATATGTCCTTCAACAGTCCATTTTATTTTTTTTTTTTCCCTTTTTCCTAATTGCAGTAAGCTAGTCTTACATCTGGGGGTGCAAGTTCGAGATGATCTTCCTTTGCAAACAAAGCATGCACTGTCTTCTATGTCACTGTACTCCTCAAGGGTGGGAGGAGGGAGACAGTCTCCTACTGCTTTTAGCTCTTACATTTCCAAATGGTTTTGACACAAGAATTAAGAAAACCAACAGATGCTTCTAGATCCCATGGATGTGCTAGAGGATAATGAAGTAAACCAGAATGTCACACAATTTTTTCATACTTCATTCCATAATCCCAAATTAATTACAAGCTGAAGAGGGCATCAAAGAAGAGAACAGTGTTATGGGGGAGAAATATCACCTCATTTTGTATGTTGTAGGCACTTATGCATAAATGTTACTGATGAAAATACACAACTCAGCCCAATTCTTGGACCTCTATGTCGATTTGCAGGGGAAGCAGCTGAAGCTCCCATATTTTATTTGCAATTTAATCTGCAGTAACTGAAGAAGCCTGGAGCCTTTTCTGTAGCATGGAAGGAGTAGGAATCTACTTTCACTTGAGACAAAGTGGATGGGTGCACTGAGGGGTAGTGTACAATAATGACAATATCTTAAGAATGTCCATGCTATTGAGCATTCTCCAAAATAAACTCTACCGGTAGATGATGTAATAAAGACAAGACACGTTAAAAGCTGCAAAGAGACTAAAACAGTTGTTGAAGCCTTCTTTTGTCCAGAGATTGCATACCACTCTGGCCCAAACCTCCTTTACTTCCTGGCATAAAAATTACACAAAAAAAGAGAAAATTATTATTAAAATTTAACAATGAAACAATCCCTTCATTAGGAAATCTCAGGGGGGGTCCTGAACATGTTGTGCTTCTGAATGTGCCTCATGGCTTAAGGCTGAAGCTCAATTTTCTTGATCCTTTTGTTCTCAAATTCCATGTCAGAGCCTTATATGTCTCATTTGCAGGATTATTTTTTCCTGTCTTCCAGCCTAAAATGTCTTTTTAACCCACATCAAAAGATAGTGTGCCCAGCTCGCAAATTCCTTAAGATCAGTGCAGGTAAACTGCTGTTCCTGGCTGGCTGTGCTGTCTCTAACTGCAGG